GTAACGCATACGCCCACTCCCTCACAGTCGCCTGGTGGAAACGCAGCCACCGAAAATCTGGCCTTTTGATGACGTGGTATCTCGCTCTGGCGCTGCAATTTTGTCGCCGTCGACCCTGTTGACTTGCCCTTCTCAAGCAATGCACTGCGCAATCAATTGTCTTGTAGAAGACGGTCAATGGAGAGGAGGCATTCTGCCAAATCATTTCCAGATTTCTAATCCACGTTTTAAACATGTCTGTAAAGTGCTGAAACAGGTTTTAAACATTGTCGAACATATTTCAAACATGTAGACAACATTTGAGTTAGAGTTTCCATTGTCATGCCATCCACAATTATTGTCTGCAGTATCACCGATCAACTCTGCAGCCTCCTCCTCGTAGAACCCTGCTGGTGTTCCCGTACTCTACCATACTGACTCCTCCACTGACCCCCACCATCCCTCGTAGTCGTCATCGTGCTCGTCGTCACTGGCGTGCGCGTCGAGATGATGACATGGTTTAGGTCGTGTAGTGGAAGTAGAAGGTGGCGTACTCGTAGTGGCCTGGCCTGCCAGCAAGTCAGAAGATAAAGCAACAGGTTCCCAGCCTCTGCCTTCCCGCGGTAGCCAACGCATGCTGCTCGAAGGATTGCCGTTCAGACGGTCGACTGCTCTTGGAAGTAGACAGATCGGGTCGCGGTCGTTGAGCTGGCGACTCGCCCTCCGCAGGCGGAGGGTCGTGGGCATCAGCTGGAGCGGTCCTGGCGGCCGGCGTAGACTGCCCGTCGGCAGATGCTGGCCCACGGCCTTCGGATTCTGGCTCTGGCAGGGTAGACGCAGTAGGCGCCCGTGGGCGAACAACACCATCAGATTGGAGAGCATTCCGGAGACTGTTGATACCAGCCTGGCTGATCTCTGGTTCCGGCTGTGGCTGGGCAGCCGGCGGCGGTGCTGGGGGCGGCGGTCCCTGTGGCGGCACGTGTTCGTCATCGCCGTCGCCTGGGAGGTCCGCAGCAGGCGCCGGCACGTTCGCATCTGCAGGTGGGTCTCCCTCGCTCTTTGCGTCGACGTATGTCCGACGGCCTGGGAACTCCTGGAGGTCCGCATGCATGTCGTCGAGCAACATGGTTTGAATCTCCAGACCACGGGACTCTTCAGTAGTAGCCAATCTGCGTTGAAGCTGGCTGCACTTCCGCAGCGCCCCGCGCATACTGATCCACAGGCTGCCTCTGTGACTGCCGATAAGCACTCCTGGACCGACCCATGTGCCACGCCTGGGAGGCGGATGTGTTTCCCACGCCATCACGACGTCATTTGCTCGAGAAGGGGTCTGGACACGGGGCCGCGCACGGACAGTCGCCTCGATGCGACCTCTGATGGAGACCTCCGTGTGCGCCTTCACGGCAGCCTCCCGGATACGCCGGGCCTCCTCGAAGTTACGATCCGACGCGGCGAGATCCTGGGGCATAGACGTCGTCGCTGGCGAGTTCGGCAGGAAGACGGCGGCCTGCACCGCATACTCGTTGTAGCGGCCAGTAGCCAGATGTGTGGTCAGCCTGTTTTGGCAGCGCTGTACTCGGCGACCAGTCGACGAAAAGATGCAGAATCCATAGGGGAATGTAGCCATACCGCTTTGTTGACAATCTTTTTGAAGATGTCCCCGTGACGTTCCGTGCGGCCGTTTTGCCATGGTGCCCGTTTACCAGTCAGATGAAAGAGGATGGCGTTCTGCGTGCAGAAGTCCTTGAACGCCTGGCCAACAAACTCACCGCCCTGGTCGGTGATGACGACAAGCGACGGACCCAAATTTTGGACCCACCAGTCAGCTACTCATGGGGCGACGAGCTCGGCCGTTTTATCTTCGACTGGGACGCACAGCCCGTAGAGAGTGCCCCAGTCGACCATGTTGCAGATATTCATCTTGGAGCCGTCTGGGCAGTCCAGCTCCGGAAGATCGACGCCGAGGGTCTCATTGAACCGGAAAGTTTTTGGAAACTGCACTGGCCACCTTGGTTTGGTCATTCGCCCCTTGGCGTTACACGCAGGACAGTAAAACTATTTCTGCACGTATTCGAGCACAGGGCTCTTAGCACGGTTTAGCCGTAAAGCGCGCAGAAATTCTTCCAGATTTGGGTGGCCGCAGTTGTTGTGGATTTTTTTTTGATGGTGTGTTTTTGATCTTCCGTCATTCTCGCCAGCTGGAAGCTGTTGTTTCGCGTGTACGCAAAGAGACGTGTAGGGGGCCAGCAAAAGCGCTGGTGTGACTGATCTTGTTGCACAGTCTTCCTTGCTTAGCGCGCGCGTTGTTTCACATCTTCCGGCTCGGCGCATCGCCGGGGACGGTGACGTTCCGCCCCCCTCCCTCAGGGCCGCTGTTTTGTTCTGATGTGTTGCAGTGCCGTTGTATTGCTCGTCCGCCTGCTGGTCGCCAGCCCGTGGGGGGTCATCTGACGATGGACGCATCTTCCGCCGAGGGACAGGCCAACCCAGGCGCTGAATTCAGCATTCCGGGCCAGTTCCGTGGAACCGCGCGCGCCTCCTGTCAGATTGGCCAGCAAGTGCATGCGACCTTCCGGTGACAGGGTGACCTCGTCACTTTATTGCCCTTCTCCGTGATCACTGAGCTCTCAGAACAACAAAGACGGGTCAAACATGACGAAGTTTCCAACACATTTGCAACAATGACGATGGCGGCCACTACTGCTATTGCTGCTGCTATTGCTTCGTATCTGGACGGTTTCAGCCAAATCTCATCTCTAAACAGCGAGTCCAAAGTGCCAGGCGGACGTCGCACAGGCAATCTGTCAGGAACGCAATAAACAGCAAGCGCTCGGTCGGAAGGACACGACACAGAACCTACCAGGTAAGTGGCCAGTTATGGCGCATCAGTCCCCCTGAAAATTTCACGCGGCCGAGCGCGCATAGAGGACACAACAGAGGCAGGAGGAGAGATGGAAGGAAGAGGGGATGAAGATGACGATGGTGAGGTTGATGTTGTAGCAGATGGAGTAGAGCCGTTGCTCGTTACATCTCGTGGTCGCTGAAGCTGTGGTCTGATATTGGCAGCACCCAACCAGCAGGTACCGTTGGCGTCGGTGCGGTGGCGCTTGTCGGTGTCGTCGGCGACGGCAGGGTCCCAGAGGACGCGCCGACGCTTGGCAGATGTTGGATCTGCCGCTGCAGATGCTGGGTGAGTTGTTGCACCTGCTCCCGCTGCCTCCGGGTGAGGTCTTCCCGAGTTAGGGCCGCTCCGACGCCCGACTGGCTTGACGCGACACTGGGCTGTCCAGAGCCACATTCCGAGGCACCACCGACCGAGACCTGGGGGCGAGGCCCCGTCGACGCTTTCCTGTAACCAAGCGCTGAGCTCAGCACTCCAGCCCGAGTTTCCTGCCGGCCGTACTCGAAAACTTCCCCAGGCGAGGCCTTGATGAACGTGCAGACCCGGTGTGCAGTGTTCCAGCCGTCGCACCTCAGGATTGGCACGTTCTGCGTGCCGAACCTGTGAAAGCCACGCTGACACCGAGGGCACGTGCCCAGCGTTTCTGGGGAGTCGTTCTGGGTATTCTGGGCCCTTCGACCTAGAAGTCCCGTGGTTTTGGGCGATCTGGTGTTTTTCTTGGCCCTGGCGGCCAGGGATCGTGCTGTGTCGGGATATACACCAGAATAGCCCCACAGCCGCCCTTGTTAGTGTCGCAGATCAACTGGTTGGCGTACGGATTCGAGTGGGACCGTTGCATCTCCACTGTGTGGCAGCACTCCTTCTCCCGTGTTAGCAACGAGGCCGAACGTTGCCGCGAGAACGCGGCCTGCCACGCCGTGTCCGCGAGGACGACGAAGCAGCGTAGGGCGAACCGCCTCCACCATTTCAGGCGCAGGCTGCGTTGCTCTGGCGGCAGTGGCGCCTCCTCCTCCCATGGCCCGGTCCGGCGGCGCGAGCCTGGCCGCATTTGCCACGGGCCGGGCACGCAATACGTCACTCACTGACGGCCAAACGCGCGTTCGGGCCCAAGGCTGCGTCGAACCGCTGGGGTCCTGGACCTTCACCTTGGAGAGGAAACAACTGAGCGTGGTGGGACCCGAAGCGGGAGAAATGTAGACGTCGTCGTGGGGGAGGGCGCACAGGAAGACGAGCAGGAGAGGAAGTCGTAGGCGTGCGTGAAGACGGGGTACGATGGCGCAAGTGATGGACGTGATGGTGATGGAGAATATGTTTTTGGCTCCAAGCTCCATCGGCGCATACGCCGCCCCCTTCTCGACACGCAAGTCGTGGTCCACCGTGGGGGATGGTGCCTTCACCCATCTGCAGCGAACTCCGTCAGACTGTGCGACACGTGGCATGTGGTCAGCGGCTCCAGTGCGGTGCTCTTCTTCGGGCGGCGCAGCTCCATGGTCGAATCTGGCAGGTTCACCACGGCGCCAAGCGTGTGCAGGAGGTTGACCGGAGTCAACGGCGGAACAGCAGGGTTGTCGATGATCGTCCACTCGGCGACGCCGTTCACACCACCAATACCACACCGCGCGTGCACCCGCCCGAGCACCTTGGCACGATCTCCCACGCCGACGGCTGTGCCAGGCTTGGAGCTCACTGGGCCTCAACCCGTGTTCGTTGCACAACGACTTCTCGTGTTTACGAAACGTCTTGATGCCGACGAGGCCGTTCCGGGCAGTCGTGTTCGCCAAGCTCTCGCCAGGCGTCACCTCGAGGCCGCTCCACGGCTCCTGGCTGCGTGCCCGGGCAGCTGGCGCCTTCTGCAGAGCTCACCAATGCTGCTGACCTCAACGTACGCCGCCGCAGCGCCGCTCGAAGTAGCGGGCGCACTCTCGACGTCGACGTCGTGGCTGTACGGGCACTTGTCGCCAGCGTAGCACGCCTCCTTGCACTGACCCACTTGCAAAGCGTCTTGGCCTTCCTGTTCTCCGGCTGGCGGCGGTGTTTCCCAGCCTTCGCTTGCGGGGTCACGACTTTCTTGGGCATCTCCCACTTTCGCTGCGGCTCTCGGCGGTCGTAAGAAGCCAGCCTGCGCGGGGTCGCGCCGCCAGCTGTCAACCTGGAAGTCTTTCTTCTCTGCGAGGATCAACTTGCGGTACTCCACCTCGTCCGCGGTGTCGTCGTGGACCGAGGAGTTAAGGACCTCGATCTCCTTGCCGCGGCTGTCCAGCGCGACCTCGGAGGTGACGAACTCCTGCTCCACGTGATCCTCGAGGCCGTCCTTCGGGACGTAGTCGCCCTCCCGCAGCACAGAGTCGCGCTTCTTGTGCCACTTGCGTTCCAAGTCCAGCCTCTCTGCAGCTCTGGCTACTGCTCCAGCGCACCGCTTGGCGTCGGCACGCTCCCGCCTGCGTAGTTTCAAATACGCAGCACGCGTCTGCATGCCCTCCTAGAGGTCGCGGTCCACCCGGTCGTCCCAGCCTTCGAACGGATGTTCGCCGCTTCCAGCCGCGGGGGCCCGGTGCTGTTTTCGAGGTCGGCCGCGGGCCTGCTCCTGGTCTCCGGGGCGCTTCTCCAAGAGGTCCCCCGTGCGCCAGATGTCGTCCACGATGCCGTCCACCACGGCGTGCGCGGCCATCCTCTGGAAGGCTGCGCGGCCGGGCTCGGCAGCGCGGCGTCTTCGTCGTCCAGGCCGGGCGCCGCGGGCACCTCCAGCGGCTGCTCGTCTACCAGCTCGGAACCCGCCGTCGCCTCCTGCTCAGGAGACCGCGCGCTGAGCTCAGCACTGCGGTCCTCCTCGTGGCCCGCTTGCGACGAGGAAGCAACCGTGCCGCAGAAGAAGGGCTCTGGTTCGGTGGATGCGACGGGTGCAGCCCCGGCCTCCTCCTCCTCCTCCTCCTCCTCCTCCTCCTCTTGCGGCTGCTGCTGGTTCGGGCACCGGCAAGACCAATGCCCCAGCTGGTGGCACGGTTTTTGCAGCACTCACCGAGCGCGTTCCACTGCTCGCAAAGTTCCTCCTCGCAAGCGCGAACAGAAACTCATGTCTGCTTCGATGTGCTACATCGTGGATCCCCCGCGGCGGATCTGGGCCACTTGCGAGCAGGTGCTCTGCGAGTGGTGGAGCGCGCTCGTCTGAGCACGAGCCCCTCGAGGGCAGAGACCCGGCCTCAGTCGGACGCCCTGCCGCGGCCGCGAGGCCGGGTGCGGCCGCGGCGGCGCCGGCGCTGCGTTGCCCTCGCCGCGGCCCTCGGGCGGCCGCCCCAGAGCCTGCCGCGGCGCGCTCCAGCAGAGCTTGCGGCAGAGCTGCCGGACCAGCCGCGGGCGATCCGTCAGCCGTGCTGGGGCAGCTGCTCCGCCGCGCCGCCGACGGACAGAGTGTCTCTCCCAGCCACGCGCAGAGGGGGGCGGGAGGGAGAAGCCGCGGGCCATCTCTGCAGATGTGAGGCGGGCGCCTCCCAAGAAGCAGGCCTCCCTCCAAGAAGCCCTCCCCCCTCCCTCCACCCCCTTGTGCGCGCCGCCAACTTCGACTCTGCTGCATATGCTGGCGAGTCGGGCGGTAGCCCAGGGGTCTGCCGCTCTGGGAGGCGACCCGGGCCTGGCGAAAGTGAGACAACGCCCGCGGGGCATGGTCCTCTCCGAGGCGGGAATGGATGCACGACCACCGCCTGGAGGATTCATTTTCGGGGACCTCGGCAGGCGGTGGATATGGATACACAGTCGGGCCCCCAGGGGCCAACGTAGATCCACATCCACCGCCCGCTGGGGCACCAGGGCGTCGGTTCCCAGGCGTTGGATATGGATGAATCCCCGCCTCGCATCCTCGTCGTACTCGCCCTGCAGGTCGCTCTCATCCAGGGGGACGAGCTCGCCACCCTCGCTGTCGTAGTCCAGGAAGGCTTCGTCGCCCTCCTGCTCCTCGGAGGCACACTGCTGGTCCTCGTCCAAGGAAGTTCCCGCCTGCGAAGCCGTCGGCCTGCGAACCTCCGAGGGCCGCCCGTCTTCGACATGATGTGGTGATGTGGTTCTCCAAGTGCCCAGGGATCTTGGCACGCTTAAGGAAGATCATGCCCTCCCGGCGGTCTGTCAGCGGGTCGCTGTGGGAAGTCGCTATGAGAAAAGCAGACCGGGCGATGTTGGCGAATTGCATCAAGCTCTGGTTGCGCTCCCTGTGAAGACCGTAGACTTAAGTCAGGCACTTCCCTCTACAGGAAGAACATTCCAAAATAGTAAAAAATCGTCGGGGGACATGCCCGACCTGACCGTAGACGGCCGTGTCGAACTCGACTCGATCTTCGAGCTCAGATGTGTGCCCGTGAGTCTGCTCTGAGACGTTCCGGCTCGTCTTCTCGGCTCCTGGGTTCTGCAGATCTTCGTCTGTCAGGTGGTTTCAGGGGCAACAATAGGGGGGGATATGCATATGGGGGGATGCATCGACCCCCAATCGCCCACTGATCGCCGATAGGGGGCCGATAGCCCCAACCCGCCCAGGAAGGTGCGGAATCTCTATCGGGGGCCTATCGCCGATCTATCGGCGATGTATCGCCGATTCCAGGTCGATGCATCCCCCCTATGCCTATCCCTCCCTATCGTTGCCTCTCATGGTTAATCCCCAAATGAGCATCACCAGACAGCGCCTTCAAGGTAAAATCCCATGCTTCGTCGCTGGGGCGTGCGGATTCTGTAACCAGTGGTCTGAGGAGCGGCGGCACAATCTCCAAGTGTGCTCTGGGTGCAGCCCGTCCCAAGCTGGAGGTGGATCCTTTCGGAGGTCGATAGACCTCCTACCCTGACACGTCGATTAGTGAATTGGCCGTTTTCGGTTCGCGAGAGGGCGTCGCGGCCGTTATTTTTGCGGGTCCAGGTCCGTCGGTTTCGGTCCTGGGCCGTTTTCAAAGGGAGGTTTACTAAAGGGAGGTTTGTCCACCGCCGGTCCTTGCCCACGTAGCAGCCCTGGGGGTCTGCTCGGTGGTGGCCGGCCTGGCGCGAGGGCGGTTCCAGAGCCTCTGCCAAGATCCACTCCTCTCCTCGCCGCTCTCAGCGGCCGTGCTGCCAGTCCCACCAACTCGTGTGCGTCTCCTCGTGACCAGTCGTTGAGCTCGGCACTGGCAGTCCTCGATGCTTCGGGGCCCGGCGCCGAGCTCGGTATTGCAGTCCTCCTTGCTTGCGCCACCGCCGCTGCAGCGGCAGCAACGATCTGCTGACGAATCTCATCTGACAGGTCATCGCGCACTCCAGGGGAATCACTGCGAGACATGCCGTGGAGATGTCCACTCACGCTCTGGTGCCAACTGTGGAAACAATGCCATGCTATCTGATGTGCAATCTCGCCATGTTTCCGTGCGCAGCGTGCCACATATTCAAGGGCCCTAAACGGCAATTGATGCATACGTGCATGCAGGTTTGGAGGCAACAGCAGGGAGACAAGAGGATTGCACTGCTACTCCACAGACGCTGCCTCCTCCTCGATTCTCTTCCCCTACCTGCTTCGACGCCTTCCGAGTCGCCCAATTGCGTTGCTTTAGTTCACCCGAGGCGCTGGTGAAATGGGAGATGACCCAACGCTGGCGTGAGGAAGTTTACCCTTTTTTTTGAGGAGGAGGAGGCCAGCCTAGGCCACGACCCTTTGTCGTGGCCAGCGTGCCAGGAGCCACTGGACGGTCCGCATCATCAGGACCCTCAGGACCCTACTCGATCCGCCTCTCGATCCTCCTCCTCCCTCCTCCTCCTCCTCCTCCTCCTCCTCCTCCTCCTCCTCCCCCTCCCTCCTCCCTCCTCCCTCCTCCCTCCTCCCTCCTCCCTCCTCCCCTCCTCCCTCCTCCTCCTCCCTCCCTCCTCCTCTCCCTCCTCTCCTCCCTCCTTTCCTCCTCCCTCCTCTCCTCCTCCCTCCTTCCTCCTTCTCCCTCCTCCCTCCTCCCGCCTCCCTCTCCCTCCTTCTCCCTCCCCCGCGTCCTCCTGCCTCCCGGCTCTGTCAAGAAGGGGGGCGCGGCGCGCGCGGCGGGCGGGAGGCCGGTTGGCCTCCGGCGGCCGCGGCGGCCGCGCGCCCCACCCCCGTGGCGCGGCGCGGCCGCGAGCCCGCCGCCGGGAGCGGGGCTGCGGGCATCGCCGGGCGTGGCCCGGGGTGCCGTGCCCGCAGGCTAGAAGGGGGGGGGGGGGCTTCTCGAGGAGAGCGGGGGGGGGGAGGGGCAAAGAGGGGGGAGGGGGGGGAGGGTGCGCTCGCGTCAGATCTGACGTCCTACTCCCTCCCTCCCAGCTCTTACCTTGGCGTAGATCTCCTTTCTATTCGCACAATCGGATGTCGTAGCATGGCATAGTATTACATGGCATAGCATGGTGTTGAAGATCAATGCGTAGCATGACATAGCATGGCGTGGCGACGCCCCTAAAGTGGGGGCTTCTGCGGCCCGAAATATAAACGAATCGACGCCGAATGTGTAATCACTTCCGATGTTTTTTGTCGGGAGGCCATTTTTTAGATTTCGGTGCCGATTTGGAAGGACCGAAAACCATGCCGTGGCATGGCGCTGGACATAATGACGCCAGCGCTTCAGCGGGAGCACGATTCGGGACGAGCGGAAGCGCGGAGATGAAGCCAGCGCTGCAGCGGGAGCACGATTCGGAACGAGCGGAAGAGCGGAAATGATGCCAGCGCTGCAGCGGGAGCACGATTCGGAACGAGCAGAGACCCGAATATGAGGCCAATGCTTCAGCAGGAGCAGCATTTTGAAACAAAAGCCCAAGCGAAAATCCAACTCCCAGGAATCTGGTGTGTAAAAAACACTACGTGGAGGGGGGCCGGATATCTTCTGGACGTCATCAGGGGAGAGAGGAGAGTAGTATTCATATTGTGTAGTTGTGGAGGGCCGCAGAAAGAGGGGGAGGGGGGGGGGAGGGAGCGGGGTAGGAGGTGGGGGGGAAGGGGTGGCGGGAGAGAGGGGGGGCAATGAGGAGGAGGAGGAGGAGGAGGAGGAGGATGAGGTGGAGGAGGAGGAGGAGGAGCAAGAGGATGATGATGATGATGAGGAGGAGGAGGAGGAAGAGGAGGATCACTGGAAACCCAAGAGTCATTAACGATTTTTGAATAAACCCTCCCTCCAAGCGCCCTCTGAATAGGCCCCTACAACGATTCGTTTCCACTGAGGGAACTGCCTCGTTGGAAGACAATCGTTTGAAGACCCTGAAGCATGCCAAAGCAACATTCTCGGGATTCCAGCGCCACGGATCAACCTGGCTGTTGCGTTTTGACGATCTTGAGTCATGCCAGAACGCAATTCCTGAGCCTTCAACGCAGCGAATCAACGTAACTCTTGCGCCAACATGATCCCGAATCCTTCCAAAACGCAGTATTTGGTACGCTGGTCATGGGAATCACTGAAACTCTTGCCAATTTCTAGAAAGAATGCGCGCGGCGCTAAGGCGAGAACCACATGTTGAAAACGACTCGCCCTCAATCCGTGAACCCCCTGCATTTTTTTTCAAAACGAATGTGCGCTGCGCTAAAGAGAGAACCGCACTTTGAAAAGGAACCGCCCTCAATCCGTGAAGCTCTTGCACATTTATATAACGAGTGTGCGCTGCGCTAAGGCGAGAGCCACATGTTGAAAACGACTCGCCCTCAATCCGCGAAGCTCTTGCATTTTTT